CTCCCCCACAAGCAGGCGTTTCTGAAGAAAATCTCTTTCCTCAGCTTGAACATAAGGCCTGCTTTTATGTATCTTCAATGCCGGTGTCCTTGTAAAAAGAGGAGGACAGGCACAGAGGCCCGCGGGGACAAGGCCACGGGATGACGGAGACGCAGACTGGAGAGGTGCAGCCGGCAGCCCCCGGCGCTGGGGACAGGCCTGGACGGCAGCTCCCTCACGGCCCCGGGCGGGTCAGCAAGCCCACCCTGCCAATGCCACCGCCAGCTCAGCCTCCAGGCCTCCAGAATCGGAGGCCACTCGTTTCTGTGGCTTCGGCCCCCCAGTCTGTGGTGCCTGGTCAGGCAGCCCCAGGAGACACAGGAAGCCCTGGCCCCATGGAGTAGCGGGGGTGTCCCCTGCCCTGTGCCTTGCTGAGCCGCAGTGTCAACAGTGAGCTCTTCCCAGCCACCAGTACAGAAGAAAACAGAGCTACGTTAACACACGAGCGACTGTGTGGGAAGATGTATTTTCTATGTATCAAAGGAGTGCATACAAATTGTAGGCATTTAGAAAACATGTTAACATGTAAGGAACACTTCTCATTACTGGCCACCCAGCTACTCACATCCATGCAGATGTTAGCAGGGTGTGCACTCATAGCTGCAACTTCTCTACTGGGGTCACACTTTATCCATAAGTTTGTTACTTGACCTGTTCACACAAACATGCTATGGGGCATGTTGCGCGTGGGATGTTCAAAACGCCAGCTGTGCAGGGCCACATCATTAGATATGCAACCTCTTACTTCATCCCAGCCCTTGGCGGCTACAAATAATGAAGTGAGTGCCTCCCTAATGCCAGAGTCATCATGAATAGCTGACTATCTCTAAGGGTTATGCACCAGGGCTGAGGACGCTGCCTACAGGCTTGCTCTGTCTCAGCAAATGGCCCTCTCGGAAGGGGCAGCACTGCAAGGCCTGTGCCCTGCACCTTGCCAGCAGAGCGCTCACCTAGGACTTCATCAGTTGCTATTTTCATATCACTGTTTGCTTGCTCTTAGAGTTGGTGTTGTTTTAGTTACTGGTGAGGGCAAAATACTTTTTCACTGTGCTTTCTGGTCACCTGCACCGCGCGTGCGCACATGAACACCAGCGAACGCCACAAGCTCTGGCAGGGATGGGCTTCTGGCTTGTGGATCAAGGAACTGCAGCCAATAGGGCAGGTGGCTAGTTCCCTCCCAAGAGTAATCTGACCAGTTGTTCTGGAAGCTCAACCTAAGTAAAACCAGAAAGGAACACCCTGAAATGCCACGCTTCTGGCTGGACAAATGGTTTTAAATCCTTGGGGTCTGGTGTACAGTCAACCCTATGCCATGTGACAGGAGGAACGAGGCAGCCCCATCTCCAGGCAGGGCAGTGGGTCTAGACCAACGCCTGGTCCCACCCCCAGATTCGGACTCAGTTGGTCCAGGGGGCCCAAGCAGGAGTGTTTTTCAGGCTCCTAGGCACTCCTGCTGCATTTGCCCTCATCTGTGTGCTCTGGAAGATGTCCCTGTACTAGGTTGTATGGCGGCCCTGAAAACATACGTGCGTATCTTGTGGGTGTGACCTTCTTCAGGAAAAGGGTCTTCGCAGATGTAATGAATGTCAAGACGAGAGCATCCTGCGTTACCCAGGTGGGCCCTATGTCCAATGACTGGTGTCCTTTATAAGAGACGGAAGGGAAGACACAGACGAAGAGAAAGAGACTGTGTGATGACAGAGGCAGAGACTGGGGTGATGGCTCTATAAGCTCAGGGACCCCACGGACTGCAGGCTACCAGCAGAGGCTAAGACACAGGCTTGAAACTGATTTTCTCAGCACCCGCAGAGGAGACTAGCCTTGCCCAACGGACACAGTGGCTCACACCTATAATCCCACGACTTTGTGAGACCAAGATGGGAGGATCACTTGAGGTCACGAGTTCGAGACCAGCCTGGCCAACATGCCAAAACCCTGTCTCTACTAAAAATACAAAAATTAGCTGGGCATGGTGGCAAGTACCTGTAATCCGAACTACTCAGGGGGACTGAGACGCAAGAATCGCTTGAACCCTCCAGGCAGAAGTTACAGTGAGCCGAGATGGCACAATTGTGCTCCAGCCTGGGTGACAGACCAAGACTCTGTCTTCAAAAAAGAAAGGAAAAAGCCAGCCTTGCTGACAACTTGATTGCAGAGTCTAGCTTCCAACACTGTGAAGGCGTTTCTGTTGTTTCAAGCCCCAAGTGTGCATTACTTTATGACAGCAGGCACACTCAACTCATACACCCTCCCTCCAAAAAAAAGTGTAAATGCTCTTGTAGAAAAATTGCAAGATTAGGATTTAAATGTAGCAACCGTGAGCAGAGAAGCTGTCTGTGCCTTTAACGTTTTCCCAAATACAATCTGATGGACACCTGGCTCGAAGAAGGGGAAAAGTCGCTCCCCTCGCCCTTGCAGATACTGAGAAAGCCCTCAGGCCAGGCTAATTTTTAGAAGGCCTGATATTCCAATTCTAGCCAGCCTCACACTGTCAAATAGCAGGAAGCCCTGTGAGGAAGCCTGGGGTGGACTCACAACATCCCGTTCCCAACCAGGGCTGCTTGGGGGACAGCAGGAAGGCAGGCCCGGGTGCTGGGGAGTCAACTTCCAACTTGGTTTCCTTTGCTACAATTGCAGGGTTCATGCCCAGGGCTCTGACATCCTAGGAAATTTCCAGAATCTTGTAAAACAAGTAGAATCGTCTGCTCTTCATAACTGGGCAACAATATTCTTAGTGAAGATCAAAGCATGTTTCGGTGTTAGAAAAAGAAAAGTGTTCCTGTGTGAAGCGCCTTCCGACAGACCGCAGGTGGTCATCATGACTCTAAACTCAAAGCAGCAAAAGGAAACAAAAATGGATAAATGTGACTACAGAAAATAAACTTCAAGGCCGAGAAACACTAGTAGTTTAGTGGGGTGTGATGCCCACGCCTATGATCCCAGCTACTCACAAGGCCAAGGCCGAATCACAGCAGTGAGCTGTGATTGTGCCACTGTACTCCCACCTGGGTGACAGAGACAGACCTTGTCTCAAAACAAAAAACAAAGAAACACTAGTAGCAAAGTCAAAGCTAATCCTGCTCATGGACAAAGAGTTTCTAAAAGCAACAAAAGAAAAATGGATAAAACATATGAGCAGCCCAGTGAGGCGCAGTGGCTCACGCCTGTAATCCCAGCACTTTGGAAGGCCAAGAGGGCAGATCGCCTGAAGTCAGGAGTTTGAGACCAGCCTGGCCAACATGGTGAAACACCCACCTCTACTAAAAATACAAATATTGGCCCAGCACGGTGGCTCACACCTGTAATCTCAGGACTTTGGGAGGTCAAGGCAGGTGGATCACCTGAGGTCAGGAGTTCAAGACCAGGCTGGCCAACATGGTGAACTCCCGTCTCTACTAAAAATACAAAAATTAGATGGGTGTGGTGGCAGGTGCCTGTAATCCCAGCTACTCAGGAGGCTGAGGCAGCAGAATCGCTCAAACCCAGGAGGTGGAGGTTGCAGTGAGCCAAGATCCCACCACTGTACTCCAGTCTGGGTGAGAAAATCAAAACTCTGTCTCAAAAAAAAAAAAAAAAAAAAAAAAAACAATATGAGCAGCCCATTCAGAAGCAGAACTAAAAAAGGTCCTAACTCCTCAGTAACAATACTTAAGCTCACTCTTAACAGAGAACTGCATGCCTAGCGAATGACAAAACCCCAAATGGGCTTTCCCACCTCCTCCTTGGCAAGGCTAGGGAAATAGGGGGTGCAGTGAGTTGGGAAACCAAGCTCCAAGGAGGGTGGGAGACAGAGGGAAGACACAGACGAAGAGGAAGAGACTGTGTGATGACAGAGGCAGAGACTGGGGTGATGGCTCTATAAGCCCAGGGACCCCAAGGACTGCTACCAGCAGAGGCTAAGACAGAGGTTTGAAACCGACTCTCTCCGCGCCTGCAGGGGAGACCAGCCTTGCCAGATGTGGCGGCTCATGCCTGTAATCACAGGACTTTGTGAGACCGAGGTGATCTGCCCGGCTTGACCTCCCAAGGTATTGAAATTACAGGCGCAAGCCACTGTGTTTGTGTTCAGGTACCGCCTAAGCCATCACCCATGCTCAGTGGTGTCAGTTCTCAGAATCTACCCCAAAGATACGCTCAACTGATGCACAAGGATTTTTACTGTGCCGTTATTTATGGTAACAAAAAGACTGGAAACAACCCAAATGTCCATCAATAGTGACTGGTTAAATACACATCGGTCTCACTGCAAAAAGGGATAGCATGCGGTCCACAAGGACAGCAGCCGTGTGCACTGTAAGAGGGCAGCACTCCCAGAGCACAGCAGCGGGCGGGTCGGTGGCCAGTAGGAAGAGCGGCCACCCAGCTCTGCCCAGGGAAGTGGGGAAGCAGTTCTCCCTGAGAGCACCTGGTCGCCATTCTTGACTTCCCCAGTGGGAAGTGGAGGAAGAAGGAGGGATCAGCCCAAGGCAAGTGGTTCAAGCAGACAGAAGGCAACAAGAAGAGCAGTGTATCAGGCCTGCTCAGGACTGCAGCTGCCCTACAAGAGGGGACCAGTGGATCCAGAGCTGAAGCCTAAGGCACCGCAGCAGGCTCCTGGGGCTCCAGGCAGCACCCTACTCGTGGTCATCTAGCCCTTCATCCTGGGCTACGCAGGCAGGAGAAGAAAGCACAGACAGCACGTTCCCGGGCATGTCCTCGGCAGGCAGTGGCCTTGCGCTGGCCGGCTCTACTCAATGCACTCCATGACGTGTATCTGCAGGGTGTCCATATCAGGGGCCTGATACTGGCACTTGGGACAGCAGAAGTCAGGCGGCTCCTCAGGGGGGCTCCTCCTCTGGTTGGGCTGAGCCAGGAGAAAGGAGTGGTGGGCTGGGAAAAGAGAAGAGTCAGAAGCGAGGGGAGGATGGAGAGGACAGAGACTTGGCGGGACTGTGAGACAGGCCTGCAGGCCTCCCTTAGCCTCAGGTCAGGGGCTGGGCTACCGACGGGGTGACCAGTGCAAGCTCCCACCGTCAAGACTCCGGAGAGCGACAGGAAGGTCTAGCTGTGACCTCCCGCAGCACAGCACCCACCCTCCCCCCTACCTGCCCCTCCTCCCGCAGACCCGATGCTTGCTCACTCACCGGGGGCGGGGGGCAAGGGGGCCTGGGAGACCTCTACGTGCCGCTTCCTCATGTCCTCAATCCTTTGAAAACAGAAACCGTCCAGTCAAGGCACACGCTTCTGTAAAGCTCCATGGCTGGACTAGTGTCAGAGCAGCTCTTGGAAGCTCAGGTAAGTCGAAAGGGGCCACAGTAAGTCCTAACCCGGAATGCCAGAAGCCATCCGTCTCCTGTAGTCACCACTGGCAACCCCCTAGTGTCACACCCACTGCTCACAGGGGCATACTCTTAGAAGCCCACCTGGCCGACTCCTGACAGGTAGCCTTCAATTTGCTGTACTCCCTCTGCAGCTGCTCCAGCTGCTCCTGCAACAGCTCCTTCTTCTCAGCCAGCTTCTCCCGGGCCTGCCTCTCAGCCTGGAAGTCCGCCTTGTAGATGTCCGCCTGGCAAATCCAAGAGAGAGCAATATGCCCACCACAAGCCAGCCACCCACTGGGCACTGTGCCAGGCACAGAGGAAACAGATATGTCGGCGAGTGACACCAAGTGCAGCACAAGTGGCTGAGAAGCTTACGAAAGGCCACCACCAAGTGACGCCAAAGAGGCCGGGCATGGTGGCTCACGCCTGTAATCTCAGCACTTTGGGAGGCTGGAGTGGGTGGATCACAAATTCAAGAGATTGAGACCAGCCAGGCCAACATGGTGAAACCGGTCTCTACTAAAAATACAAAAATTAGCCAGGGCTGGTGGAGGGCACCTGCAGTCCCAGCTACTAGAGAGGCTGAGGCAGGAGAATCCTTAAACCCGGGAGGCGGTGACTGCAATGAGCTGAGATCCTGCCATTGCACTCTGGCCTGAGCAACAAGAGCAAAAATCCGTCTCAAAAAGAAAACACATGCACACAAAAAGACACCAAAGAGACACAGCAGGTCCCAGCGGGAGGGTGGGCCAGAGAGGAGAGCCCTGACCTGCGCCTTCAGCACTGGAACAGTCTCCATCACCATCTTGTGCTGCTCGGCCTCCTCCTTCAGCTTATCGATCACCTCCTGTTTGGCCACCAGGGCCTCCTCAGCCTGCTGGAGCTGCTGCTTGACATCTTCCAGCTGCATTCCCTAAAGACAGGCAAGGGGAGCTGACGGAGCCTCGTCGGCCGAGGGCAAGGCTGCCTGGGAACTGAGAAGGATGAAACAGTGACCCTGGCTGACCAAGCTGGGTGATGCCAGCTGCTTGATTTGAGGGCCCGCTGCAGGATCTCAGCATGCATAGGGAGAAGGCTGTGTCCTGTCGTGGCCCAAAAGGACAGAGCAGATGCTAAGGTTTTCTTCAGGACCAAAGAGGCCACACTGAGGTCACTTGGCACAACCTCCCCGCTGGGCGGACATTCTCTTCCCAGAATCCACAGCTGCACAGCCCTCCTCCCACCCTTCACAGGACACAGGACACACCCATGCACAGTGAGCTGCCCCATGCCTGCCGCATGCGTGGCGGAACTGAGAGCCCTCGCCCCTTCCACTCTGCACCTGGTCAGAGGTCCGCTCATCCCACACAGGCATCGCCAGCCCCCCCGACACACAGACACACTCTGCCAACACTTCCCTCCAGAGATTACGTGGCCACTTGTGTCGCTAACTCTTCCTCATGTGACCTGGCTTCAGGCTTTGACAGTGTCCTGCTAAAATGGGAACACTAGCAAACTGCACCCGGCTTAGGTCTGAGGAGGACAAACTAGGAAAAGGCTCCTAGCCAACACTGGGGTGGAAATGCTGCCGGGCTTACCATGGCTTGGGGGAAACTGAGCCAGGAGCACAGATGCGGATGGCTGGCAAGAGGGAATGTCCACGGAGACAACAGAGCCCCAGCCCCACAGAGGAAGCATCCCGAGGCTCTGCCCCAGCCCCCCATTATGGTGGCCTGCTGACACTCCTGAGAGCAACATCCCAGGGTCGCCATCTCCCTACAGCTTCCCTGAGCTGTCACAGCTGCAGCCTGACAAAGGTCTAGGGCAAGTCAAGCATCCCTCCCAGAAGCCCACTCTCAAGGTTCAGGGATGTGGGGAGAGGAAGACACAGGGCCAGCCCTAGAGCCCCGGCGGCCGCACTCACTCGCTTCCGCTCACTGCTCACCACACTGCTCTTGATGTGGCTGTCGTATTCTTGGAAGAGCTGGTGATAGGCCACCTGCAACTGAGCCAGCTTCCGCCTGAGGAAAAGGAGCTTGCGCTGGAGTAACCACCTCAGGCCAGTCCGGCCACAGTTCTGCTTCCACCCCACCCACTTCCTTCCCTCCCGCGCATCCCAGGCCTGGAGTGGGGTCTTCCAAGTCTGTGTAAGGACTCCTGAAGGTGTTGACTCTGAGGCAGGCTTTGCTGGTCTAGTCACCAGGCAGTTAATATCATTTTCCTTAAAGCTAACATGTTTAAATATTTGTAATAAAATCATGGCCAGATGTGTTGGCCCACACCCGTAATTCCCACACTTTGAGAAGCCAAGGCAGGAGGCTGGCTTGAGCTCAAGGGTTTGAGACCAGCCTGGGCAACATGGCCAAACTCCACATCTACCAAAAATACAAAAGTTAGCCAGGTGTGGCAGTCTGCGCCTGCAGTCCCAGCTACTTCGGAGGCTGAGATGGGAAGATTGCTTGAGCCCAGGAGGCACCAGGTACAGTAAGCCGAGATAATGCCACTGCACTCCAGCCTGGACGATAGAGCAAGACCCTATCTTGAAAATAATAGTAGTAATAATAATAACAATAGCAATAATACAATTGAACTACCCTGCACTCTTCAAAACTGTGAACTTCACAAACAACTCAGAAAGGCCGGGTAACTGTTCTAGATTTAAGGGGACTTCAAAGGCACGTCAAGGACAGGAACCTGAGGCCGCAGGTTGGATGCTGGTAGGAGGGGGACATTGTGGGTATTTTTGTTGTCTTTCTGTTGCCCAGGCTGGTCTTGAACTCCTGGGCTTAAGTGATTCACCTACCTCGGCCTTCCAAAGTGCTGGGATTACAAGCATGAGCCACAGCACCCAGCCTAGAGGGGGTCTGAAAGGACAAGTCCCCTGATGACCTAGTGGCTAGGAAAAGAGGTACAAAAAAGGCCACATGTGGACACACAGTGAAACATGGTCTGGATAGCAGATGGCATGATTGTATCAAAGACAAACTGGGTGTCATCATGGTCACCTCTACTGTTAGCAAAGCTAAGGAACAGAATGGGCCCACAGCCACAGACAGAATCTGAAGGACTCCCCAGAAGGCAGAAAGAACCATAGACCCACCGCTTCTTGGCCTTTTGGCCGAGAACGAGTGTAGAACCAAACACCCTGTGATGTGGCCCCGCCCCCATGACTCACTTCTCCTCCGAGGCGGCCTGTCGCTCCATGCGGAGCGCGGCCTCCACGCTCTGGGCCTGCATGCGCAGCTGGTCCACCTGCACGTTGTGCTGCTGCTGCAGTGCCTCGCGCTCGCTCTCCAGCTGCCGCACCTGCTCGCTGGCCGCCCGGGCCCTGGCACAGGGACAGAGCAGACTCAGGGAGGATGAACAGGAGGAGAGGAGGGGCTACACGCAGGGCATGGGCAGAAGGGGTCTGCTCTGAACACCCTGTGACTACAAGCCAATGCAAGGCAGCAGGGTGGAGACACTGTCACCAGACATGAGGACCACTGCAGGTGGCTAGGTGGGAGCAGCAGGTGAGCAGCTTTGAGGAGCAGGTGAGGTCCAAGAAAAGGATGGGGTTGCCTGCATCCCACAGTGCCGGGGCCAGGTGAGAGGAGCCCTCAGAACTGCCCACGGAGCTCCAATGGGGGGCCGCTGGAGGCCCCAGCAAAAGCAGTCTCTGTGGAGGGGGTCAGCAGAGACTGTTCTACAAGTGAGACACTGCCCACCTGGGTGCACGAGCACTAAACTCAACGCAAACCAGGCCTCGGCCCCATCCCTGCTGCTGCCCAGAGCTCTGCTGGCATCCCAGATGCCCTGCGTGGAGGCTCAGTTCCCTCAACCTGCAGTTTCCACGCTCTGGCCTCATCCCACGGCTCCACTGCAGGACGATGGTGGATGCTTCTGTGCGGACCCTGGGTGGCCTCCAGTCACCCCAACTCCGCCTGGCAGGTCTGGCTGCCTGGCTCTCTCCCCTGCCTGCACACTGCCACCACACCCTGCCTGGGCTCCCTCTGCCCAGCAGAGCCCAGGTCAAGCTCCCCTCCCCTTTGCCCTGCTGGTTGCCCCAAGTGTGCTCCGACCACCTACTGTGCTGGGATGGCTGGGGCCCTGCAGCAGCTGATCCATCTGTCTGGAGGGTAGAAGCAGGGCCGAGTAAGAACCAAGAAAACCGCCCTGCCCTTCGACCCAGTGGTCCCACTTAGAAGAACCAAGACCCCTTTTCAAAAGAGAGTAACCAGCACGCCCAAGGTCCCTGCACCTGGGCTGTTTGTAGGCACATCATTGCCATGAGCACCCACTCTGCTGCTGGGAGTCAGAGAGTTAGGTACCTGCCTGGCAGACAATGCTGACCCGCTCCCAGTAAACACCCAGGACGCTGAGTCTCTAGCAGGCAACCCTGGGCAGGAACATGGCCCATGTGGGAGGCACTTCTCACTGTGCCCCTCACAAGGTGGGAGGAGCCTGGGACACAGCTTCTCCAACTCCACCCGCAGCTCCTGCCCTTTTCCCTGTCATCAACCTTGGCCACGAGGGTGACTGTGCACCGGTCCCAGAAGTCCTTCCAGAGAACTAGAAACCGTGGGTGTGGGCTTGGGGCCCCCAAAATGCCTCTTAAGGAAATAATCCAAACTCTATCAAAGTGTCTGAGAGTGCGGAGAGCTGGCTGGGACCAAGTGCCTGCCCTGAAGTATTTATGCAGCCTGCCCTGTTTATCCTCATCAAGGAGCCCTGGAGGCCCCTAAACCCACCTCATGCTTTCTAAAACCCTGGAAGGAGCCTCCGGAGCTGGCTCCCCACCACTCACCGACCCTCCAGAGCCTGGCATTCCTTAGTGGCAGCCTCCAAGCGACTCTGGCTCTCCTGGAGCTCCCCGAGCAAGGACGTCACCTGGGCTTTCACAGAGGCCTTGTCCTCAGCCATCTGCTGCAGGAGAAAAAGCCACTTCCTGTCAGCACTGCATTCCCCCTGCAAGCCCCAGGGCAGCCCACAGGCAGCTGAGGCCTGCCGCATGAGCCCAAGGGCCCCCAACCCTCCCCAGCTGGGGCTTGCAGAAAGAGATCCCCAAGGAGACTAGGGAGCACAAAGGGGCCTTGAGATTGTCCACAGCTTAGTCACTGCCCTGGCAACCAGGCCGTGAGCACTGAACCAAGTGGCCTTGAAGCTGTGGCCCCAGGAAGGAATCTCTTAGCCTCTCTGAGACTTGGGAAAAAAGGAGGCCAGGCACAAACACAACAAAGGACACACAGGCCCTAGACACGCCCAGGGCCACGAGGATGGAGAGTCTGTGCAAAGCAACAGTGAATACTGAACGGTGTTCAACACTGGGAACTGCAGAACCCCTCAGCAGGCACTCTCCACTCAAACCCCTGCACCAAGACACCCGGCCACCACCTCACGGGCCCCTGGGACACCCCAGACCCTCTTGAGTGAGCTCCCGTCTAGAAACACTCAGGGCTATCCAAACCGATTGCTGTCTGTCTGTTCTGGCCAACACCTGACCTCCCTTTCTTAGAACATTTACTAGACAGGGCTTCCCCTGTCCCTTTGAGACACCTGTGCAGCACCCACCACCAAGGTCTTCCCCGAAGGCCCCGCACCCACCCCTTGGAAATGGAATCCTCGGGAGGGACGGGGCCCGTTGTCCAAGTCTCCGAGGGAGGGAAGAATCCCAACCTGGGTAGCAACCGGCAGCTCCCACACACGGTCGGCCTCATGGCAAGGACACTGGCCGCCCTGTCGTCTTTCACTGGAACCCCCCGCCCCCTCCCGACTCCCTCATTCCAGCTTCACAAAGCCAGG